TAAGATCATTATATCGGATTATATATTTTGTTTACTCATAGCAAATTATTTGTGGTTTAACAATGTTAGAGTTAATTTCAGTTATGATATAATTTATTTTTAATGTGTGCATGATAGGTTTGATCAGGGGGATGGAGTCGATTATAGTTCGGCTTTTGCTACAGACGAGACTTTTGCGACGAATAAGGAAGCTATTGCATATGCGAAGGGTATTGCGAACATCTACAATATGGAGTTAAGTGTATCCTCGCACAAGGATTATAGTACTATACTCCTTTGTCATAAAGGAGGGCGGTACCAAGGTCAACAGGTGGATGAAAACGTGCGCGCCCGAGCCAATACAAAGACACAGATGACCGGATGCCAGTTTCGTGTTACTATTTACAAGATATATGATAGGTGGACGATCTGTGCATATCCAGGTCCGTTGGGAATGCACAACCATTCATTGAAAGATCCACCTCGAGTCAGGAGGCCATTGAGTGCAGAAGTAAAAGAGCTTATTAAGGAGTACTCCAAAGCTGGAACTAAGGCAGTCCACATTTTACGGGCGATATGGACACAATTTCCTGATGAAAAGGTTACCTCCAAACAAATCTACAACTACAGAAATTTTTTGCGTAAGGCGGGGTTTCCAATTCTAGATGACCTGGCTGCCATGGACGTAGTGGGAAAGGTGTTAGAGGTCGTAGAACAACACAAATACATCATCTTCATGGAGTGTGATGAAGAGACACAGAGGTTATCCCACGTGTTTTTCGCACATCCGGATTCTTTGTTGTTGTTGCGGACGTATCCTTGGGTTGTTTGTGTAAATTCCACATACAACACAAACAAATATAAACTGCCTCTAGTGGAGTTTGTTGGAATGACCCCTTGCAATCAGACATTCCTTATAGCATATGCTATTCTAAGTGATGAGACGGGAGACAGCTACCATTGGGCGCTGTGGCAGCTCCGTAACTTGTGTGCCACATCATGCATCATAATGGTCATCTCCCCAAATGGCAAGTGGAAAGAGTTTCTGTCGGGCTGCCACCTCTCTATGACTGCAGAAATAAGCGCAAGGTCAATGTCATCATACATGGTATCAATCAGATGATACAAACCGGTATTCTGAATCTGCAACTGTGCGTTCTCCGGTAACCTTGCATACCATCCATGCAATCTAGAAAAACTCTTCTTCGCTGGCTTCATCGTCAGGTAATCTCTTGGTTCTCCATTCCACAACTGATAAGCAGTGTGGCCAAGAAAACTAGGAATCACTGACCCATCACATAGCCCGCCAAGTACGTTGTCCGTCACAACCCAATCATCAGTTTCTTCGGTAGAAATCTTAGACCGTCTGCTAGTACCTGAAACCCGAATAAAGAATAGTGTATAAATACTTAATCGAATGCAATTAAGAAATTGACCAAGCAGTAATGAATGCTGAAATTGTTACCAATACGTACCTGATGACGATGTAGCTGCCTCAGGACGGATAGAGGCACCAATGGATGCGCCACCAAAACGGGAACGAGGCTGAGTAGTTAGAGGGGGACCTCTAAAAACAGTACTCTGCGGGCCTGCATGCTGAAGAGAAGTACTGTGACCTCTAAAAAGAGTACTCTGTGGGCCGACACGAACACTGGAACCACCAGGAGTGTAAGCTGAATTCAGGGCCGATAATCCAACAAGGGACTTCCCCCCCCGGGTAGGTGAACTGGAGTCTGATCAACAGTCCGACTAATGGGGTTCAGTACTGAGTTATCTCCAATATGTATATCCCTCCTCTCATGCGAGGAATACTCGGATGTGTCATCCTCCTCATCCACATCGTCTCCCCGACTCTCAAAACTATCCTCTGCTGATTCCTCTCCCTCAAAATCATCATCATCGTCTACGTTGGCTGACTCACCAAGTGGCCCAAACGTAGGATGTACATTTTTCACTTTCTTTACCTTTTTTTCTTTTTCTGCTCAATGTTCGGCATACAGATTGCGCGTAACTGCATGCCGATGTCCAGATCCCTCAAGAAGCGATATCCCATCCTACAAAAGTTTCAAATTTTACACGTAACTTAGATTAATTAGTTTAATACAGTTTTATATTATTTAAATACCTAATTATAAAATTATCTACTATACATCTTAAGTGTACAATTTATTAAATCTACTAAGTACAATTAATAATATCTACATATTTATTTTTTCATTTTTTAACCAAAATTAAATAAATATATAATTTATTATTTAATTTTAACCACAATTACATAAATATTTTTTATTAACTCAAATTATCTACTAACCTCTTGTATTTTTTTTTTAATTTGAACTTATTTATTTAATTTTCCTATACTAACTATTTAATTTCTACGTTTGATTTTTTTAGGCTAATTACAATTAAATCGACTAATCCAATAAATATATTTTCTATCATTAAATTAATTATAATAACTTTCATGATAATCCAAATTAATTTAAAAACTGTTAAACTCCCTAAAACTACAATTGAATTCCTAAAAATACAAAAGTATTATAACTAATTTATTTACTGAAGATTAAACATATACTTTTAATAATAGTGTTTCCTAAATAAATTAAACTAATAAAAATAAATTTCTACCATTAAACTATAAAATTATAAATTTAACTAATAATAAATAATTAAACTAAATTTTATAAGATCTACAATTACTAATAGTAACAATTAAATTACAATTACTATACAATTTATAAATAACAATTAAATTTAAATATATAATATAACAAATTAACAAAAAAAAAAAAAAACCGGCGCCGGCATCTCGCCAGGCGGTAGCCGCCTGGCGAGACTTTTCTCACCAGCCCACCGTTCGGCGGCGAAGAAACGGGCGCCACCACCGTCCCGGCCGGCGAGGGGAGATCTGCGCTGGGGCGTGCAGAGCTGGCGCGCAGATCCGCCCCAGCTCTATAAGGAGTGGCGGCGGCGAGGGAGATCCGCCGCGCCAGCTCTGCACGCCCCGGTGCGGATCTCCCTTGCCGGCCGGGACGGTGGTGGTTTTTTTTTAAAAAAAAAAAAATTCCTACATAATTCTAATTCAAAAAAACAATCCAAATTTACGTACCTTCAGTTTCCGTAGCTCTTTACGTAGCCGTTTCATTCGACCAGCCATTAAATCTAAGTTTTTTGGAGTTTGGATTGAGAGAATTTGAAATGAAATATTGATTTAGGAATTGAAAGAATGAAATTGAAACTCTTAATTTATAAAATCATGTAGGGGCAAAATAGTCTTTTGGTATTAAATTAGGGCGCTCAAGAGAAATTTTTAGGGCGTTTAGTAGCCTCCCAGTTTATTTTATTTTATATTTACAACATTCCTTATGAAAAAAATTCCAATCCCCAAGCAAAATTTTCCGTAAAATGAAAACATAAAAATTAAAATTTTTATAGCCGGAGATGGGTTCAACTCCAAGTTAAAAAAAAGGAAAAAAAATCTCTTTCACCTTGACCCAAGATAATTGCTCAATTTGTTAGAATGCAACAGTAAATACATATATAACAAAAATGAAAATTTTTCACAAAACATAATCAAAAGATTTGATAGGGAATTTTTCAATTTTTAGTTAATCACTATTTTTGTAGTAGGGAGTTTTATTAAGATCTGTAACTTTTGTTGTTTATTATGCATATATTGAATCCGAGGATCTGAGGTGGCACGTGTTTAGCTGACAAATTTGAAGAAACACAACGTCACGAGTGAAAAGATTCCGATTTTATCTTTCCGTTCTCTTTGATTTTGTGCAGCCCACAAGAAAGGTAGGCAGTTCACTGGAAAAGGTTGCACGAAACTTTATTACTTTGATATAGCAAATTGCAACCGCCGCCCCCCACCCCCCCATCCAAAACATTCAGCAATGTACCCCTAAATTTATCACGTTGTTGTACTTCCAAATTCCAATAAGTGTTATACACTTCCACTAGGTTGTTTATTTTTAACCTAAAATTCTACTGTAAATCTTGTTGACCATTTCTAGTAATTAAGCAAACAAAGTCTAATATTTTATTTCTTAAAACAAAAGAAAGAAAAATAGAAAGTATCATTCCCCAAATATAAAATATACATGATTGAAAAAAATAATATTCCATTATTCTTTCTCTTAAAAATTAGGTTCTTTCTCTTGTTAAACTCAATTCAAACCCAACAGGCAGTTGAACCTTCTTTATTTTAGTAACTGTTCTTCGATCACATCCTACTTCAAGATTTGGTATCAGCATGCTTAATTTTCGTTATGAAATTATCTGAAAAATGTGATTTTAACAATTGATGGCAGTTATTATTAAATTGTATTAAGCGTTTTTGTGGAATATTGTACATGTATTTATAAAAAAATAACCAGCCAAGAAGTGAAATCTTACAAATTGAGAACAGTTCATGGGCTATTTTGCAATATACTCTGAACACAACGTGCTCGACCAAAAAGCAGTAGTTGATGACACCACGTCACTTATCCATTTTTTTTTTCCTTCTAAAATGTTTGTAAAGGACCTTTTGGGCAATTTCCCTCCACTTCTGATTTATTTATGTATATTTTATATCTGTGCAACGTTAAAAATAATTACAAAAACAGAACAATTTTAAATAATGTTCGTCACAGTTGTTTTTCTGCTTAGCCTTTTTCGCCCTCCTCCTTTATCATTCAATTCGATTCAATTCCAATCATATTCTACACACACTCTTCTACTACCGCTAAAAGGACTGACCCCCTTTCGCCTTTCTTTGTCTTCTTTCTTGTTTTTCACTTCCCTTTTGATCCCCTTTTGCTTCGGCCGCCTGTTTCTCAGATCTTTCTATCTTTTCACGTAAGTAAAACCCCTGCATTGCTTCAGTTTTTTCTGTAAGAATCCGAATCGGAATCGGAATCTTCCCGCTTAATTCAGGGATGCATTCTGTTTTTTCGGCGTTTTTAATTGGTGGGTTCATCTTGGTTTCTTGTTTTGTTGTGTATTTAGATCTCAAAAAAGGGTGATTTGAAGAGATGTCGAAACCGGGTACATTGGATCTGGCTTCTGGGCTGGGTGGAAAGATTGCTAAAGATGACGTCAAGACTGCTGTTGACAAGTAATTGTGATTCGCTTCTCTTCCTTGTTGCACTCTGTGTGTGTTTTATTGATGCAGAGTTGTAATCCTAAGCATGCATGTTTTCTAATTATTAACATGCAGCTGATGACATAATCAATTGTGATGTGTTTGTTAGAACTCTGTAGATGAGATCAAATGTTTTTCTTTTAGTATTTCATGTAGTAATGCGGAATATCTGCTGCAGCGTACCCTTTTTTAAGATGCCTAAGTTCATAAGGTGATGTACTACTTATTCTCTTTGACGTCTGAGATGGAAAAGGTTCAAATTGAATTGGAAAGTGACAGTGAAGGAATGTGGTTGCTGTTAATTGCCACTGTTGCAATTTCTGAAAGTGAAGTTATTCTCTAAGAATAGTTTTGTTACATAAAGAATATGAAATATCAAATGCATTTGCAAAACTCATTATACTTTCTAGGCAGTTTTTTGGAGCAAATTATGCTTTGTTGTCACTTGTCAGACTTGCAGCATGTCAGTTAAGGTTCATAAAAGTCATTGTTTGGTATACATTTGGTGTCTTTTATTTTTAAGTGGTTGTATACTAGATCTTTTCTTTATGGCGTCGTTCTTGTTTATTTGCAATATGTTAAATGTGAATTTACAGTCTGTTTGACCATACAATTTACAGCTGTTTCTAGATTCTTTCTTCTTGAATTCTTTTGAAATTTATTTTTTAGAATGTGCTTTCTCTTAATTCTTGTTCCCATTGTAATTTTGGTTCGTTTGTGTTGATTATGAATAAGGTATGAGAAATATCATGGCTACTATGGAGGTGACGAAGAAGAAAGAAAAGCTAATTACACTGACATGGTGAGAAGTAATTACACCCTATGTGTTGAAGTGGCTCAGTCATGTGCTTCAAATTCTAAGGCTTGCTTTCTTTCTGAGTGCTATTAGTTATTTCTCTTATTTCTTTCTCTCCTCCAAAAAGGTATTGATTAGAAGCTTGTCATTCCTCATCTTAATTTTACAATTATGTTATTTAACCTAAAATGAAAAAGCATATAGGTCATTGCACAGTTTGTATAGTTGATTGCTAGCCAGAAAGTTTTTATTAGTGGTTGAGCTAAATTTTTGGTTTTACATTAAGGGTAACCTCTACCATTTTACAGTGATTATTCCCATATCTTTGTGAAGCTAGAAATATTTGCATTAAACCCTCCTTCATTGGCATTTTTAGGCCGGGTAGGTTTTTAGATCATCTAACACATAGTTGGATTTAGAGAATTTATAAACTTGGTGCAAGAAAAGCCTCTTTATTGCAACTTTCTTAACTTAGTCATAAAATCAGTAATTCCTTCACATATGATGTTTAATCATACTATCATAGAACAGCAGTAGCCAGTTCTGCATCTCTTGGATTTTAGCTATTTGTTCAGCTCTTGACCAAGTAAAAGCTAGTTATTGAAAAATATATTGGTGAAAGGCTTCTAGTTTGATGCAAAGGACTTGTAAATGATACCTTTCCATTCTAGCTCAAAAGGTTCTGGTGATAGTTGTTTGATTGATGTTTTTGAGTTGAACTACCGTTTTATTATTACCTTCCCCATTGAAGCGCAATGCCGGTTAGAGACAACACAATGAATATACTGTTAACTTTTACCTCAAATGTGTATATGCTACAGTATCTTACATTCATAAAAGAATTCATGTGGCAAGATAAATCTTATTTCAGTCTTCTGAATTTATTGAACGTCAACGTGTATATCAGTTCAAATAAAGAATATCATTGCTTCTGTCGTAATTTAACAGTAGTTCTGCAGAAATGGTTTGAGCACTCAGATACTATCCATCCATAGTCTGTGACGTTTGAATAGGTTTTGTTCAGGGTTCTGCTTTAAAGATATCTGTTGTATATGTTAAGTTGGTTTGGTTTTCCATTTAATGAGGAGCTTGTTAATCATTTCAAAAAAATTTCGTCTGCCAGGTAAACAAATATTATGATCTTGTCACTAGCTTCTACGAGTATGGCTGGGGAGAATCATTCCACTTTGCACCAAGGTATACTTTGGTGTTACTGTGTATCCTGTTTGTAAGTTTCCGGTTCGGCTTCGCATTATGTGATGCAACAAGAACCTAAAGTCAATAAATTTTCAACAGGATGAAAGGAGAGTCTCTAAGGGAAAGCATCAAGCGGCATGAGCACTTCCTGGCGCTTCAGCTTGGCCTGAAACCTGGGAACAAGGTCTTGCTATATCCTGATTTGTAACGGCAACAATGATGACTTGCAGTTTTTAGTCTCTTACCAATGTTTCACAAACATCAGTTGAAGTGTCTGTCATGATTTTGTAGGTTTTGGATGTAGGCTGTGGAATTGGTGGGCCATTAAGAGAAATTGCACAATTCAGGTTAATGAGATTTACTTGCTACTTGATTTGTCCTTTAAGATTTGTGGATTGCTGTAGATTCTTTTGCTAGTCCTCACCAAACTGTTTTTTTCTCATTTGTTGAGAATGTCTCTTTGTGTTTTGATTTAGAATGATGTTACACAATCTTGTGATGTTTTCTTGTTTGGTTCCTCAAAAGACTGTAGCAGATGCTGCTTTTCTGTTTTTTTTTTTTAACATATGATGCCTGATAGAATTGTTCATTGTTAGGCTTGTGTGTTCGATACATGAAAACAGAGTTTGCCTAATGGTTTAGACAAATTGTGAAAGTGGAAATTGTTTGTTGTGTTGCAGTTCAATTTGCTAGTCAATTTACTTAGTTGCTATGTGAATTCATATATTCATATCAATATGAGAAGAAAGTATCAAAAAGTTTAGTGCTTCCATATAATTGGTATTGAGCAGATCCTTGAGTTGTTTTTCTTTAGAATGGAATCTGGCTTGAATGTTCAAAAATCTAGTTTTTCTCTGTGTAATTGCTTTTCTTCTGTTATTGCTGAAGAATTTGCGCTTATATCCTGAATTTGATGTGATTCATGGCAGCTTAACTTCAGTCACAGGTCTGAACAACAATGAATACCAAATATCTAGAGGAAAGGTACATCCTTCTGTAAATGTCCTGCTAATTATGTTTTGTTTCATAGTAATTTAAACATTCTTTTGATTCGTTTTTAAAAGTGATGATGTAGGTTGTCGTTATCGTTACTTCTCTCCATTTAACGTTACCTATTTCGCCTGAACATAAGTGCATGTTGACTGCTTTAAGGCAGAACGATTGATCAGTAGTCCTGCATTAAAGTCTGCAAGCCTACCGTAGCCATAACTGCTTGCCTGATTCTAAAACGAGAGGTTCTGGAAATAGGTATTAGAGAAAGGAAAATGACTCTGTACAAAGTTTCTTTAGCCTTCAATCTAATTACCTACTTTTTGGAGTGGCCAAAATAAAACATAATGGCAACATCATTTGAGATTCTGAGAGTGCATCGTTCTAGTATAATTCTATGTTCTTCATTATTTTCTTGTAATCTCTGGTCATCACTGTTTTATCTCTACACAGGTATTGAACCGTGCTGCCGGAGTAGAGCGCACTTGTGATTTTGTAAAGGCAAGTAACTTTGGAGAACTTTCAAAATTTTTTTCCCTATTTTACTTCTGCTACTGCAGTTATTTACTGCTTCAATATGTTACAGGCTGATTTCATGAAAATGACGTTCCCTGACAATCATTTTGACGCAGTATATGCAATAGAAGCTACCTGCCATGCACCAGATCCGGTATTTCTTCTTCCATGTCGCATTTTCAAAATCCTAGCTGGCTTTCGTTGGTCTATTCAGATGAACTTCCAGATTCTTTTCTTGTTCATTCGCTTTGTTGTGCAAAAACTTAATTTCTTTCTGGATTTCTTTGCTTACTTTGTCTGCTATAGGTAGGATGCTACAAAGAGATATATAGAGTGCTAAAACCTGGTCAGTGTTTTGCCGCGTATGAATGGTGTATGACGGACTCTTATGATCCTAACAACCAAGAGCATAACAAGATCAAGGTACATGATTCAACAATAGAAAATTTTATTGAGGCCTTTTTTCAGGATATTTTCCTTATAAATTATATAATTCTGGATTTATATTGATGTAGGCTGAAATTGAGCTCGGGAATGGTCTTCCTGACATTAGAGTGACAGGACAGTGCCTTGAGGCCCTCCAAAAAGCAGGATTTGAAGTGAGTTATAGCACTCCTCTCCTTTTTGAATTTTAGTGTTGTTTGTAACATAACGAATAATATAAGAGGAACTTGTGGGTAAATGAAGGTTATCTGGGCAAAAGATCTTGCAGCAGATTCACCGGTTCCGTGGTACTGGCCTTTGGATAAGAGTCGCTTATCATTCAGCAGTTTCAGGCTAACAGCACCAGGACGCTTTATCACTAAAAACCTGGTAGGAGTTGTAAAATATCTCATACATTTCCGTAATGATAGTTATGGTAAAAAATGTGATTTGCAATAGAACTGATCATGGGAAAATGATTAACATAAATGTTATATGTGTGTTTACATAAATATTGTGCGTACTTAGGTTAAGGTCCTCGAGTACGTTGGGATTGCTCCAGCTGGAAGTCAAAGAGTCTCAGATTTCTTGGAAAAAGCAGCTGAGGGGCTCGTCGCTGGTGCAAAGTAAGAATTGTTCTGCACTTTCTTTATCTTATTAACTTCATTTTTATTGTAATGAGATTTTGCATATCTTCCAACTTCCTTATCCAACCTACTATGCGATTTAAATCTGCTATTTGGTGACTGTCGCAAGGTGCGCATCAAACTCTATTAAAACTCTACATACAGTTTCATGTTGGGGAAATTACAAACATGCTGACAGAAAAATAGTGGCTGGACAAAAGAAGCAAGAATTATTGCATTGTAGAAATGTCTCTAAATTCTTTTAGGCTTCTTTTGTCCGTTATATATAGTGGAAAGGAACTTGGAACTCTGGACTTTAGTAATGGCACTGACTTAAGGCAAAGATGAAAAGACCAAGAATTGTGTAAGACTTTTGATGTATTTCTTTGCAGCAGAGAGCCTCCATGATGATTCACATTGAGAGAGTTTAGGTTATTCTGTGAAATTAGAAAAAACTCTTTGTTGGTGTTGGGATCATTTGACATAATTTGGAAATCAATATGTTAAAAGTAATTCTTACTCTTATGATTCATTGTTGTAAAGCCTCTCTGTAGTTCCCAAGAATTGGACTTTTGGTTGTCCCAAATCCACAAGGAATCTCTTGTGTTTCTACACATTCCTTTCAAACAAAAGATAAACCCCAACCCCCAAAAAAAAAAAAAAGCAACTTGCTTCTTTTATGTTCCAGTTCCTGCCTGTGTCTATGTTGCTTACAAAGGCTCTTAACTGATAGAATCAATTTGGGTTTTTGCAGGAAAGACATCTTCACACCAATGTACTTCTTTTTGGCAAGGAAACCTGTTTCAGAAGGCCAGAACGCGTGAGATTTTATTAGGAACTTCATGTTAGGTTTCATCTTTGATCATTTTGAGTTGTGTAGCCATCATATGTTTGGGTGCGTGGGTAGTTTCCCTTAGAATGCTATGTAGTTGACTGTGTTATTGTCATCAGAACAGATTATGTAGTGTTTGTTATTTTTGTGGCCAAGTTTGCTTTTAACTCATTTTTTACCTCTCCTCGTTCCTCTTATTTTACTTTAGCAGAACTAACTTTTGGTGGGGTTTTTAGCTCAACAATTCGTTCAGCAAACTTTTTTCTATTATACGTGTTACACTCCCTTTGTTCCAAAAAAAAATTAAATTAAATTAAATAAACAATTGGTTTGTTATAGTATAAGAACATGACTTTAATGGTAAGGCGAAGAGAGAGTATTTGTATTTGACTTCAGTGATTGAATGAAGTCAACCAGTTTTTAGCCTACCATGGTGATAATAAAATAAAAGACAAAATTTGAGTAATCACCATTATATATAATTGACCCTTAATTAAATGTCCTTTGGCAAGTTTAAACAAATTTGTGCGATGATGATGTATGTTTGACCTGACCATAGCGGAACCAGAAAAGATAGAGAGTGTTATTTTTCGCAGTTCAGAAATTACTTATTAAATGATTTTTTTGTGTTCAAATTTTATGATTGTTATAGACTTATTCTCCATTTTATTAATAATCAAAGAAGTAACTCTGTCCCTCCTAGCTCTATAGGAGCCGTCATTAACTACTAATACTAATTCTAATTCTGGCCTTAATTAAAAACGCGTCCTTTCCCTTCTGCTAGCCCATTTTCTGGCTTGGTTCCTTTACATTAATTTCTCAGTTACAAAATACTCCCTCTGTCCCATAATTATTGTCCAGTTTTACTAAAATGAAAGATTTTATCTTTGGTCAAACTTAATTATATTTTACCTTAAACAACCGGATATACCCCTACATAAGTAATTATTTAACTACTAAGATTTTATGTATAATATTTTTTACTAAGGACAAATGTGTAACTTGATCCATAAAAAGTCAAATTAGACAATAATTTTGGGACAAAATTTTTTGGACAAAGTGGACAATAATTATGGGACGGAGGGAGTATCTAACAACACATAAACTATTACAATATGTAAAAGTATTTGCAACTGTTTTTCCTCTTTGTAAATCGTTGTCACCCTCGTAGAATATTATAAGGTATTTACGTATTTTTATGTTAATTAATTAACATCTAATTTTCGCTATTTAGTTTGAATTGGAATTTGTACTAAAATCTTCACTTATTTAAATTTTAAATAATCTTTAGGACTTCTTCTGGAATATTCAGCAACTAACAAACAATGTATTATAATCATTGATAAATAATCACTTTGAAATTAACACTGATTAGCATTGAGGAGTTAACCATAATATGCTAATTTAACAAACCACGCTAATCATAATATTATAATTATAAAATCTTGCCATTAAATGAAAACTTCACTATAAATATGCGATATTTCTCCATTCATTAATCACCACCACCACCAACACAACAAGAAGAATAACTACAAGTAATTTATGCATAGCTTTTGAGATGGCAAAGTTCTTCATAGTGTTTGTTGCTCTTATTTCTTTCACTCTTGCTCCTGGTATTTCCTTATTTCCTTAACTCTTATTTCTTTAACTATTTACTATGGAATTTTCAATGATTATTTCTACTAATGCCGTTCTTCCTCCTTTTCTTTTTTTTTTTGCAATTTTGTTTTGACAGTTGAGAAAATAATTCCTTCAGTCCATGCTCAAAATTCTTGCCAAAAATATATTCTTGGAGAATGTGATGTCACCACTCCGACTCACTGTGAGGTTGAATGTTTGGCTCAAGTCCCATCAGGAAGTCTCCAGAGTTTTAAATGTGAAGTTAAGGATGATCAGAAAAATTGTGTTTGTACTTACCGTTGTTAAGGGAGGAGAAAAAAATTGATCAGTGTTGTAAACTCCTATGATGTTTGACCTTGAATAAATGAAACCACACTTTCATTAAATATAATCTATTAATTAGATATGTTTATCCATTGAAAAAAAACATGAACCATCGGTTTAAAACTATAAATCACCAATTAACTGTCGGTTTTACTTATTAAAATAAAAAAAAATTATATCATGTAGATTATTATATTTCATATATTTTCTATTCCATTAAACACTTCAAGTTCAAGTTCATATTAGCACATTTAAAAGACTAAAATCGACAACATATTACATATATGTGTGTATATACTCACCTCATTGCTTCACAATGTTTATTTATTTAATATTTGATACATTAACTATTTAACATTCTAATTTGTCAGTAGATGTGAAACTAAATGATAATATGAGTATCATTAATCCAATAAAAGATGAATTTTTTTTTTTGGAGAATTTTTCGTAGAAAAAATTTAATCTAAATGAAAATAAAAATCACATAAATTAGAAAATAAACCATCACCCAACAAAGACTGTGTCAACCTGAAACCAAACCAAAATCAACAGTTTATGAACTGGAACCTGAAGGATCAGGGCTTGTTTGGCCAACATTTTATTTTAGTTTTTGTTTTAGTTTTTGATTTGAGTTTGAGATATGATTTAAAATATGGTTTAAGATAAATTTAAAAAACTTGTTTGAGTAATATTCTAAATAAAATAATAATATTTTAAACCGCCACCAAATCACCTCCACTATTGCTGCCGGACCGCTCACCAGCCGTCGTACTGCCGCCGGACGGCAACCGACTGGCCGGATTCAGGCCGAATTCCGACTATTTGGCCGGAATCCAGCAAGTCGGTTGCCGGCCCGGCGGCGGCGGTCGGCGGTTCGGTTGCGGCCGGTGGTGACGGAGGTAGTCCGATGGTTGTGGATGAAAAATATATAAAAATAATGTTTGAAATAAATTTTAAAAAATAAATTAAAAAGTTATTTGGATAGTATTAGATTTTATGTTTGAGAGGTGTTTTAAGAGGCCAAATGAGACAAAATAGTAAAACAAAACTTGTCCAAACAAGCCCTTAGTTTCAGTTCCACCCTTTTATAAATAGTGAACTGGTGATTTATAACCTTAACCAACGGTTCTTAAACCGTGGTCATACCTACATTTGTTTTAGGATTCATTTTACTTTACTCAAGCATCTCAAAACTCAACCAAACACAGGATTTTGAAAATTAGGAAAAAACAGTAGGGCCGTGATTTCATTTACATGATTGAAACATTATTAGTTATTAAGATTTTCTCTGATTTAATAGTATTTCTTATGTTTTAGGTTCTGGTCTCTTTTATTTTCTATATATTTCTTTTTTATTCTAAAAAAAATTAGCAAATTGAAGTTTAATAAACCTAAATGTGTTGTGGGTTGTGGGGGTTTGATTTGATGTGATCAAAGTGAATTATTAATATGTTGTGGGGGTTTTATTATCTAGTATTTAGACCTTGTTTCCTTTATTATACCAAAAAGAGTTACTCCCTCCGTCCCATAATTATTGTCCAATTTTACTAAAATGAAAGATTTTATTTTTGGTCAAACTTAACTATATTTTACATTAAATAACCGAATATACCCCTACATAAGTAATTGTTTAACCACTAAGATTTTTATGGATAATGTTTTTTACTAAGGACAAATATGTAATTTGATCCATAAAAAGTCAAATTGGACAATAATTTTGGGACAAAATTTTTTGGGCAAAGTAGACAATAATTATGGGACGGAGGGAGTAAGAGTTTTATTTCCGTACAACACAAGAGTTCTATTAATTTGAGTTCTGTCTAGCATAAAAATAAATATGACTTCTCTCTTTTTTTCTTTTTTCTTTTTTGGAAATTTACTTTTTGAGACTTTATACTTTGCCTCCAAAGAGGGACATAATACCAGCTTTGAGAAGCGGGTATGTGATAAAGTTTTCCTTGGAGATTCACAATAATTCGCCTCACGACAGATTTTCTGTGAAGGGAATGGTTTTCTTTTTTTCTTTAAATTCATTTTTATAGTGAGGTCAAATTAATTAGGTGGCCAGAATAAAAAGGTTTGGTCGACGTTAGAGTTGTTGTTTCGGTCAGTATAATTATTATTCCCTCCGTATCTATAATTATTGTCTAGTTGAGGTTTTCATTTTAGTTCAAATTGTACTAAAAGTGAAATCTCAAACTGGACAATAATTTTAGGAGGGGATTAAATGAAAGGTTTAATTTCAAAAAGAAAAAACAGATGAAAGATTAAAACCACGATCCTGTAATCATTTCTTCCTTGAATTTACCATCTTGTTCAATCTCCTATTATATAACAAAGTTCTAAAATGTAAATACTTTTTGTTTTCCTAAAATGTTCTAGTCTTCCCACACCCCCGAGGAAAACATACATGAAATAGAACTATGTGCCAGTATATGTGTACAAGTCTTACCATTATTGATACAAATCAAAGTAATTCTGTCCCAAAGACAACCAAGTTGTAGGACTTATTCTTCCATTACTGAAAAATGAGCCATATGCGAGCCCATAGTCTTCTTATTCCGTATTAAAATTTGGTGGAACCAATAAATTATTTTGTAATACAACTCATACTTGGTTGTCTTCCGGTGGTTATTAAATCTTGCATACGCGACAGTATTTAGAGCAAAAAAAAAAAAGAAAAAAAGAAATTTTGCCTTATTTCTTTAAGACATCATTGATTTGCTGCAAAAGGGATGCCATTGTATTTGGTAAGAGTATCATATTCCCACCAATTTGATTACTACTCCTAATCTTTGTCAATTTGTAGTTAAGAAGGCATCCATTCGATGACTTTTAACTGGTAATATTTGCATTTATTGTTCTTATTAATGATTAAGAATATTAAAACTTGTAACAAAAAAAAAACAAATGACAACCACGCTCACCTATACCTAATCAGAAATAATAAAAACATAATTAAAAAGTTAGTACAGCAAGTTGTGGTATAATAACAAGGAGACAAACATTTCTTTTTCGGTTTCTAATATTTCATACTAATTCGAATCACATAAGCCAAAACTGAGAATTACTATCCAACGTTTTATAATTCAAACCACAGAAATGGTATCTGAAAATTACTAGTGCGATATTTTTAAGACAGAAAGAGTGGCTAATATGAGTTATGCCGGAGAGTCACACACATTTTTTCAACTTGTGCTCAAGCATTGAGAAATACTACTAACCGAGTGAGGCTTTTTCTTGGGGAGGATGGTTCTATTTATTTCTCTCAACACGTTGAAATTCTGCTTCTCTCCAACGCTAATAATAGGAATAAATATCTTCAACTCGTATTTTTATTTATTATTAGTATTTTTTTAATATAATTTTCTTAGAACCTTTCTCATTCAATCTTTAAAACATTTTCCCTTGGAGAATTAAACTACTGTAATTAAATATTTTATGTACCTTTGCTGCAAAGAAACGCAATTTAGAATCAAAATTGTTATTAGTTAATTAAAGCAACGTTAAAAAGAAGAAAAAGGAACGCAAATAAACATTAATTTCCCAGAACAAACACAAATAATAATAATAATAATTAATCCGCGAATCAAAACAAAATGTTGGATTTTTTAATTAAACCTAAATATGGTTATAATACAACATTGTGAACGATAAACTCAGTAGTATCAAAAATCGCGCCGCTGCTGCCGCCGCCGGCGACAACCATCTTGTTGTTGTACGCCATGGGCCCAGCAACATCACCGGTGATTCCATGACCCGGAAAAATCCCATAAAGAAGAGAGTGATTCTGGGGGAGATTTTCCTGACCGCGGTGGCGGTGGCCGCCGTCGTCGTGGTGGCCGGCCGGAGGATGGTAATACATCCTTCCGGTTTGTGGGCAGTGGGAATGAAACCTGGCTGCTATTCTCACACCTGCATCTAACAATTCCACATACTTGCTCCCCATCTTCTTCTTCTTCTTCCTTTTCCAGAAACAAAAATTTTTTTTTTCCTGATTTTTTCTTGGAGGAGAAGAAGAAGCAGAAGAAGAAAATGGAATAAAGAAATTAAAAAAAAAGGGAATGAAAGAATAGATGGGAGAGAAGGAGAATTGTGTTAGAAAACGTCCCAAATCTCAGAGCCCATAAAAATTGGAGAATCAAAGTAATGTGGTGGAAACGTAGGAAGAAGACGACGCTAATTTATAGTATTAGGCATCTTTTCTGTGGCGACCTTTCCTTGCAAGTTGTCCAACAGTTGCTAACAGTTGTCGTTTTGTGCCCTCCAATCTCCTGAGCGTTGTTACTTCAACCCCAATACTTTGTGTTAGGTTAAATACTGTCTAATATTCCCCCCGTCCCAGAAAAATAGTACATTTTGAAAATGTATAACTTTTTTAATTTAGTCAACACACCAAATGTGCAACTTTTTTTATGCCCCTAATTTCCACTAATGCCCCTTCTAGTTTTTTGAAAGAAAGGTACTTGTATATTAATTAAGAAGTACCTGACCTATTACATCGCATTCTATAGAATGCTAAATTATGAATTTCTACAACATCTTGTCTACTCACTTTAATCAGTGAGCAAGACTGAAATAAGGAAATACTAGTAACTAACAAAGAAACTACCTTCTGGGCCTCAGAAGGTATTAAAGCAGACCGTAAATCTCCAGTCAGAGCGTCACAGTCCGTATAAACTTGAAGTCGAGTGATCCCTAAATGTAACGCCTCTTTCAATGCCAAGAGACAAGTCATTGCCTCGGCTTGAAAAGGAGAAAGCACACTTAGGTCCACTGCTTTGATTTGCATCACCATACTATGATGTGATAGTATCTTCCAAGCACCAGCCGTTTTGCGTGTTTGATGGTTACACGATCCATAAAAAATGACTAAGGAATCAGTCGGACCCCTCTGTGGTAGTGATGATTGTATGGTAGGAGAAGGTCTTCCAACTATCAGTCTGCCAAGGCTTTGCTTGTGGAGAGTGACTTCATTTTGGATAAGTCTCCAAGATACCGCCGGATCATGAGATTGGTTTCTCCAAATTTTATCATTCCTTTCCAACCAGATCCTCCAGTTGATGATCAGAAACAAATCAACCTTCTCTTTAGCTGGATGAGACTGAGTCCACTGAATGAACAATTGATGCAAGGAGTCATATGTAGAATTGAATATCGAGCCAAACTGAGGAAAAGCCAAGGCCCAGATGGCCCGAGAGGCTTCACACTTAAAGAATAAGTGTAAGCTATCCTCCTCCTGCCCACCACATCTGGGGCATAATGAGTCCACTTGAACTCCCCTTTTACATAGTTCTGACCGAGTAGAAAGAGCATTGAGTATTGCTCTCCAGAAGAGAAACTTGTGCTTAGGTTGAACTCTAGAATTTCATAGTCGTTTTCAAGCTAATTTCTCTGCATTCTGAGTTGCTGGACTTGGTACGGGTTGTGGCAGGAAGGCGTTGATGGCCAATTGATACCCGGATTTGACTGTGTATTTCCTATGATCAGTAAGTGTCTATTGAAGCTTATCCTCTTGATGTAGTCTTGCCGGATTTATAAAAATACCAGTAATGCGGGAGATAATATGATCGGGAAAGAAATTCCTAAGAGCCCGAATCTTCCATTGACCATTTGGATGAATAAAACGGTCCACAGTCAATTGGACATAGCTGAAATGGAATGAACTCCAATCGGATTCTGTGTATCAGGAATCCAGTTTGCTGATATAGGAATATCCTTGCCTGAGATTACCTTCCATTTAGTACGATTCTGCAGAAGTTCAGCTCCCCACACGATAGTCTTGAAACCCCAGGAGGAAGTTTTGGGAGGTTGTACCGGAGGAAAAATGCCATTGTTGCAATATTAGCCACGAAAAAGTCTAGTTATTTCTATAAAAGTTAACTACATATGCATTTATTTTACAGCTTAAATTTGATTAAAATTTTTATCTAAAAAAATATTGACAATGGATCTTGATGGAAAGATCTCGTTACGTAGATTAATTTGATATATAACATATTTTTTTATTATTCATGTATTAAAAGATATAATCATTTGAAAAAATGAGAGAATATTTAAAAAAATAAAAATCAAAGGAAATAGACATTGTTTTCCTTACCACTACTCTTTTAGATATTTAAGTCATTTCAGTTCAATTAATTCTGACTTATGTGAAACTGAATTATTTTTTTTGGGACAAACTTTTTATTAAACTGGACCACTTTTATGGGACGGAGGAAGTAGTTTTTTTAGTGGAGATTTACTGTTTAATAAAAATGTTCAATTGCATAAATTTTTATTCAATTAACTTTTTGGTTAAAAGTTTAAAACCAACCTTCAATCGCTCATTAGTTTGTATTAATACCAATTTGAATCATATTATGCCTCTGTAAGCATAAATCAGTCGTTGTTTGTGAAGCAATATAACTCAAAGTTGGGTTTTTCATCTGCAAATGCCCAATTTTAATTACTTTCTGAAGTAATTAGTGACTGGTCGGGCAATGCGCGACCCTAGCTCAATACATCTGTAGATCTTAGAAATATTTGTATCTGGAAAAAAAAAATTGTATTTGGCCCGATATATTTTAGAAATGTTTGAAAAATTTAGAAATGTTTTATAAGTGTGATCATAGAAATGTTTGTATTTGGCATAAAAAAGAAATTGTATTTGGCCCGGTACGTTTTAGAAATGTTTGAAGATTTTAGAAATGTTTTATAAGTGTTACTTCTTAAATATAAATAAACTTGATCAAATATATGTCTTGAAGTAAATGCTAGACAAAATATAAAAGTATCTTGATAATTTATTGATGTTCTCTATTGATTGTGCAAAATCAATACTTAGTTTTGGAGATTTATAATAGCTTTGTAGCAAGCTTTCTCCAAAGGGTATACGCTTAATTGTTGGAACTATTTCTTCCAAAAGTTTATAGGTAGTAAAATATCAAAAAAATAATTTTGAAACTGGTTAATTGTTGAAACTGGTTCATCACAAATATGAGAATGAAAATAATGTAAATTTGCATAGCTTTTGAATTATAGCCAAAAAGAACTCACCTCACTATGGCAAATAAAAAAAAAAGACAGTAAAAGATAGCCCATTAAAAATTGAGAAATTTATTTTTTTTCTGTAGGTAAAAATGATGTATAAAAACACAAATAAACATAGAAACATCATTCCTTCCCTCTCCGCCTCAAATTCATAAAAGGCTTCTCCATAAATTAGTTAGAAAAAACGACCTGAACTATTTATATGATAAGGAACTACAAAAAGTCCAAAAACCAAATCCAAAAAGTATATTCTTGAAAGCCCGAACACAATAAAAGAAACGCGCTTCATTTGTAAATAATAATAATAATAATAATAATAATAATAATAATAATAATAATAATAATAATAATAATAATAATTGATCAAGTGGGAGTATGAAACAAAATCAAAAGTAATTAAACAAAGAAAAAACACACTTCATAACTAACCATATATGAAAAAAAACTAAGACTCCATAATAAAAAAAAGAAAACCATTATAATTGAATGAAACATAAAAAAGAAATTTAAAAAATCACACTTTGTAACAAAAACCCAATTAATCAATTCAATCCAAACAGAACTAAAATCATACAAAAATTCTAGGCTAACTAACCATATAAGAAATCACATTATATTATCTGACAACGGCTATGGTAGCTGTAACGGATGGAGGCATAAAAATAATAGTAATAACACTATTCTTGAACGGAAAAAATAAAAAATAATAAAAGCCAAACAAATGATCTGTGGAAATAAAATCATTTAAATTTTAATACCTATAATAGCACCACCACAACGGCCGAAGCAAGATCAATGAGAATGTTTTTTTCCTTTTCCTTTGTGTTTATATAGAGAGGTAAAGAGAATATTTTTTGAAGTCGAAATTTTATCCGATTAGGATGTAGTTGATCATCACTAATGAAAAGATTGAACATGCTAATAGGAAAGGAGTATATTTCACCACGTATTCTCAATTGATGATTGATGAGGAATTTGTTTTTTTTTTTTTTATTGTGGAAAAGGGATTGATTAGGGAGTTGATTGTCGTGGAGATGGGGATGAGGATTTGGGTTTTAAGAACCTGTAGTTTTTTTTTTTTTTTGGCGATAATAGGAGGTGGGGGTGGATTTGGACTGCATTATTTGCCTTTTAAGTCTAGGAGATATGGAAACAAAACTTCATTTTAAAATATGATGTGGAAATGCCACATGGCAAATGATAGTGCTTTCTCTTAAGTGTGGTTTTTGTTTCTAATATAGTAAGATGTCAAAGCAACAAACAAGTAGTCAACAATATTTCTATCAATGATATTTTCTTGAACGAAAATATCCAATTACAAACAAGTTAAACAGATTCCCCCCTTCCTCAAACAAATTACTTTTTCCAAATAAAAAAAAAAAAAGAAAAGCAAAACTTTTCCAAAATGCAAAGGGGAAATAATATTGCCCTCTCTTATGGAAGCCTATAAAATGATTGAGAAAGTTACTAATAGATTATGGTATGTGGCGCAAACTTAAAGAAACCTGACCCCAATTTCTAATTTCTAAACCTTCAATTTCACAAGAAATCAGTAACCAAACTTTGGGTAGCCAAAAGCAGTGATATGTAAACTCAATGGGCTTCATGTAATTAAGGAGGCAACAAGGGTAGGCTTGAAAACACACAATTTTTTTTTTTTTTTTTTTGGTTTTTGAAAAGGTAAATGGTATCATTTATTTCTCTGTTTTCGTCATTTCTGGTTTACTAATTTGACCAAGGAAACACCGCGTCAAGTTTCCACGCAACGTTGGACTTGGTTCCGCTCCGCCGTTCCATTTGTTTTGGGAGTTGGAAAATGGAAACTCAACAAATAAAGACTCAATAATGTGCGGCTGGTTTGGTGGGGGAGCCTTCAAATACCGCCAACTACATTATCATGCATTCCGTCCCAAAAAATAATCATGTTGTTACAACTACAAAATTTTTTAGAAGAAATATAATCATGTTATTATTATAACTATTAAATCTTTTAGAACAGAAAAATATTTTATATAGTACTCCTTCTGTTCCAAAATAAGTGTCATTTTAGAGTTTGCACATAGTTTAAGAAAACATTAAATAAAGTAACTAAATTATTAGAATATCCTCAACCAACCCCATTAAAATAAATGTTCACCAATAATATTATTTCTTTTGAGGGTATGTTTGGAAATTTTTGACAAAAAATGCATGGGAATCCGAAAACGACACTTATTTTGAAATTTCTCTATTTTGCCAAAACGACACTTATTTTGGAATGGAGGGAGTAGTATTGTCTCTTGAGTGAGATTGTGTTGTATTCGCATAACGTATTATCATTACTTGGTGCTATTATATTATTGTTTTTTTAAAATTTAATCAGGACTTAGGAGCATCCCCTCTGTGCTTTTAACATTTCTTGACTTGCATTGCACCACCAAAGCACCAACCGACTGGGCATCCACATGGAAAAGCCCCGTGACCAGTTCAAATGAATTAAGGCTACGTAGAGAATATCCAACAACTTTCCAATTTCAACGTCAATTTGTGATATATATGATGCTTTTCCCATTTTCATTTTAAAAGTCCAATCTCTTATATTCATTCAAAGTATTGTACGATGCGAAACCGAAAAAAAAACTTGTATCTTTTGAAATACAAATATTTTTAATTTTGATTAAAAAAAATTGGGCTTTAGTTTTGTGAAAAAAGAAATTCTAAGTAATACATATTGGATTAAATAGTGTTTCACATGTCATAACAATTGTCCCATCATTCTTGCATTGTCCACAGCATTAATGTAAACCTAAATTTTTTTAAAAAATATTTTGACAGTATTACTTTTATGATTGTCCAAAATTGTTTTTTCATCTTAATTTGATATTTTGATCTATCTTTTAATATATGTTTCTTGGTAGTATTACATATAAAATTCTGAATAAGATTAGAACGAAGCACACTTTTTGAAATTGGTACCTCATTAAGTTATTTGGAAACTATTTTTAAAAGTAAGGGTATTTTGTTTCTTTTTTTAATGTGTGTTTTTAGGTGTTTTTTGTATTGGGAATGTAAACAGCTGTATTGGAAATGTAAAAAAGTATGTTAGGATGGTACATTTATTAATATATTTATTTTAAAAACCATAAAAAAATTAAACAAAAATATTGTACACTTGTTCATTAAGTTACACATTAGTTAAAACATTGTACACTTGGGAAAAATTGCCATTGCACACTTGATACATAGTTAAGTAGAGCAATGATAGAGCCACTGGAAAAATACAGTGAAATGTGAAATGTTATAATGACTAATATATATATATATATATATATTGTAATTATGGATAAAAATATAATTTTTTTGTTGGGGGGAATAAAAATTTTCTACGGAAAAATGGCTACAAAATATGGAGATCATTATACTATTTACTAAACTAAAAAAGTAGAGTCACTATATCTTTTAACTCTATATTTTCACTATATTCTTATAATTTTCCAATTAAGTATTGCACACTTTTGCACACGTTTTTTTTTTCTCCTTTTTACATTTGCAAAAATATTTACATTTTTTTTTATAACAAATGAAGTATTTTGCACAATTGAAAACTAAATATAGCAGCACTAATGAAAAGGAATTGGACATTTTGATAATAAAAGTATTACACAATGACGGACTATCAAGTTAAAATACATGACAAGACGGGAATTATACCCTAAATTTCAATGTGACAATAGAGTCAAAAAAAAAAAAATGACAACGTTTGTCTAGTACACGAAACCTGAGGTGTCCTAAATTTCAATGTTACTATACATGTTAGAATTTTTATTTTTTTTTTATTTTTGGTTGTGAATAAATGATACATATATTATTTTGTTACTAATAAGGTGATTTTTTCCTCCACTCCTTTAGCAAATAATTTTCTCTTAAAATCTAATACAAAACTACTTAACTGCAAGTTTTTCAAATAATTGAAGGATAGGCCGGCCCAATTAGAGAGTTCCCTTTCCAGCCCAATTAGTTGTATCCAGTAGCCCAATTTTTGAAAATTTGGTATTTATTTTTCCGGAGAGAACTAGTTTGAAAATTATAGAATTATCTTTGAATCACCACGCTTCACAGTTCACACAGTGGGCAAAGAGCGAGTTCCCGGAAGAAGAAACACCCAATTGCAATAGCAATGGAGCTTCAACTCATAAACCCATCTAAAATGCCCTGTTTTTCCACCCATGGATGCATAAAAACGAAAGGGTTCTCCATTGAATCGGCCAAAAGAGAATCTGTGATAAGCTCTTCAAAGGGTATTCAGAGATGTTCCGATAAAGACCTCTCTTTAATCCTCAGAAAAGAGGCCGCAGTTAAAAATATTGAGAAAAAAGCCAACTCCAGTAAGTATAATAACCTCTCCCCGAAGGCTGTTTTAGATGCCTTGGATGAAGCAATTCAAGGGAAGCAATGGGAATCTGCTCTCAAGGTCTGTGCATTTTCTTTCCCTTTTTTTCCCATTATTTTCGGTTTCCGTAAGCTCCATGTGTTCAATTCAGAATTTGGTTTGTTCCTGGAAGGCTGAAAAATTCCTTCTTGTTTAATAGGAACTTTGACAGTGTTAAGTTGCAGTCTTTGTTCTGTTTTTCTGGTCACATTCTCTATTATAATTATGAGTTGAATTTGAAATTTCTGGTTATAGATTTTTGGCCTACTTCGAAAGCAGCATTGGTATGTGCCGAAAAGCCAGACGTTCACTAAATTATTAGTTATGTTAGGTAAGTGCAGGCAGCCTGGTCAAGCAGGTTTGCTTTTTGAAATGATGGAGTCTGATGGGCTTCAACCCACAATCGATGTATATACAGCACTTGTGGGTGTCTATGGACTTAACGGTCTTCTTGAGAAGGCCTTTGATACTGTTAATTATATGAAGTCCGTCCGCAACTGCAAGCCGGATGTGTATACGTATTCCATCCTCATAAAGTGTTGCGCAAAACTTGGTCAGTTTGACATGATCGGAGATGTTTTAGCTGAAATGTCGTACCTAGGAGTAGAGTGTAGCACGGCAACTTACAACACCATAATAGATGGATATGGCAAGGCTGGACTTTTTGAAGAGATGGAACGCACATTGACAGAAATGATTGGAAGTGGCGCTTGCCTTCCGGATATATTTACGTTTAATGCGGTTGTTGGTGCTTATGGTAATTCGGGTCAGATTGAGAAAGCCGAGAGTTGGTTTGATCAATTCCAGCTAATGGGGGTGAAGCCTGACATTATGACCTTTAATATACTGATCAAATCGTATGGAAAAGCAGGCAAGTACAGGAGGATGGGGTCTGTGCTGGACTTTATGAAGAAAAGGTTTTATTCTCCTACTATTGTTACCTATAATATTGTCATTGATACATTTGGGAAGGCAGGAAATGTGGAAAAAATGGAAGAATTTTTTCTGAAGATGAAGCATCAAGGAATGAAGCCTAATTCAATCACATATTGCTCACTTGTTAATGCTTACAGCAAATTTGGTCTGATAGATAAAATTGATTCAATTTTGAGGCAAGTTGAGAATTCTGACGTGGTACTAGATACCCCTTTTTTCAATTGCATCATCAGTGCATATGGCCAGGCTGGTGATGTAGAGAAAATGGTCGAGTTGTTCATGGCTATGAAAGACCGAAAATGTAAACCAGATGACATAACCTTTGCTTCTATGATCCAAGCCTATCATGCACGAGGAATGACTGAAGCTGCTCAAAGTTTGGAGAGGATGATGATAACTGCTGGAGATGCTTCAGGTATATGTACTGAGTTTCCCACATTTTGGATAACATTCTTTCATGCTGTAGTCTAGTACTAAGTATTTGCACCAAATAGTTTATATCCTAGTTCCATGTAGATTTTGACGCGTTGAATAATTTTCTCCTGGATCATTATTGATAGAAAGCCAGAAGAAGTGATTGGTTTATGGTGGGGATTTTGCGTCGTTGCAAACAATGTATCCTCTTTAACACCATTAAAGTAGGAGCTACAAAGACTATCTGCTGCGGAGAACTCTCATTTTGTAAGCACAAATCATATATTTGCCATTTTCTTGTATCTGCAATTTTGTTGTCAAATGCATTCTACATATGCTTGATTCCGTTTTCTTTGGAAATTATTTTGGATTATGGATAGCCTGGTGTTTTGGACAGTTCAATGAGCGTGATAGTGTCCAATGGGGTTTTGGTCTATCAAAATTTTTTTCTTTAGCAGTTAAAACTTAAAATTTAGTGAGATTAAATAAGGCCGGAACTGACACTTCTGTGAGACATGAACCTTGACGAACCACAGTGACAAAACCTTCAGGAACTGAGATATTTAAACTTTTTATATAATCATGTACTAAATCTGCTGGAGCCTACTCTTATCCTAAACCACTTAATCATAAATCCACTGACTACATCCATGTAGATGCTTTTTGACATTTTGAGATGAAAAAAACTTTAAATAGAATAGCACGGCAGCAATGCAAGAATGTAGCAAGTTAATTGGTGCCCCAGTTGAATTTCCTGTTGCAATTCGTGAAATATTGAAACTTTTAAAAGTAGTTTAAATAAAGAATATGGACTAACAACTACAATGTCCAGTATGTGTAATTTTGTAGACTATTTTATGAAAAGAAAATTGTGCTTTGTTGTTAGACTCGCAGCTGATACGTTCAGGGTAGTAAATTTTGCATCACTGTTTTGGTATACTTAGATTCGATTTAAATGGCTGTGTACGAGATGTTTTGTTTGTACATCGTTCTTGGTTTTTGTCCAATGTAAGATGTGGATTGATTGGCAGTTCATCCAGTTTACAACTGTATATGCTTGCTTTTGAGTATTCCTTCACTCTTTCTTCTTGTTTATGTTCTAATTTTTGTTTGTATGTGTTCATTTTGTGTCAGTATGAGAAATGTTATGGTTATGACACAAACGAGGTAGAAAGAAATTAAAGTGACATTGTGAGAAGGCATCTGTGTACTCCCTCTCTGTTGAAGTAGCTCTCTTATGTGATTCAATTTTTAGCTAGCTTTCTTTCCAGTACTCTAAGAACTTTTTTGGTCCCCTAAGGGTATGATTTCAAATTGTTCTTTCTGATTTCAATTTTGCATTCATGTTGTTCTACCTAAACTGGAAAAGTGTATGAGGTGAATGCACAATTTGTACAGTTGAAATCTGAAAGTAGCTATGTATGGTCGAACCCTCGCTAGATTGGCATATTTGGCTGGTAGGTGTCAGATCATCTTATGCATAGTTTTATGTGGAGAAAGTTATTACCTTAATGCAAATAAAGGTTCCTTGTTGCAAGTTTGCAATTTGCTTATGGATGGTTAGTCATGAACCAGCAATTTCTTCACATGCGAAGTATTGTCATAAAACAGAATTGAACATTCTGCATTCGAATTTCTGCAGCTTCTTCAGCTTTGACTAAGCGAATGCTTGTTAGTGAAAAAATATTATGGGGGAAGGCTTGTAGTTAGGATATAAAGCAATTGTAAATGACGCCATAATATTCCTGTTCAAGAAGTTCTGGTGTCTCTTCTCTTTATTGACGCATCATTTTATAGCTAGCTACTCCAGTATAGAACATGGTTAGAGGCAATACTATGGATATTTGTTACCTTGTCTCTCTATTTTAATGCGTGTATGCAACAGTATCCGGCTTCTAAGTAGAATTTCAGATTGCGCTGGATAGTTCTTTTATTAATCTAGTGAACCTCCACGTATGTTTCAATTCAAATAAAGAATATCATTACTTTCAGTGTAATTCAAATAACAGTTCTGGAGAAATGGATTGAGCAGTCTGAGGCTAGCCTTAGTTTGAAAGTAGAGTTCTACTGTACTGTCCTAGCTATTCACTGACATTTGAATGTTTTTCTGTTCTGGGTTCTGCTGTGAAAATTTCTGTTATTTTTATTAAGCTATTTTGCCTTTCATTTGGTAGGAGCTTCATAATCTTACCATGTGCCATTCCAAATATGTTTTGTTTGACAGGTAAATAAAGGCTATGATCTTGTAACTAGCTTCTGTGAATATGGCTGGGGAAAATCGTTCCATTTTGCTTGAAGGTAATCTTGGTGTTACAGTGGGCTTTCTGTTTGTAAGTTTTCAGTTGAGCTTCGCTTATGTGGTGCAACTATTTAGACCAAGTAAGTTTTATTTTGACTTGGTTCAAAGGGTAGTCTCTATGGGAAGGCATCAAGCGCATAAGCACTTCCTGTCACTCTCTAGCTTTGTCTGAAACTAGGAAACAAGGTGCTTCTGTCTGCTGATTTGTTGTAACGGGACAATGATATCTTGTATTGATTTGTCTCTTCCGATGTTTCTCGAACATGGTTTGAGGTGTTTTCCGTGATTGTATAGGTTTTATACCGTAGAATTGGCCACCAACCCTTCTGTCTAGGACCATCCAGAGCTAGAAATTGATCTAAATCTATGTATGCTGGAATTCAGCTAGGACAGTGCCTTGAGCCTCTCAACAAAACAGGATTCGAGGTGGGTGATAAACCCCTTCTGTCCTTTAAAAAATTTCTGTAAAGCTTCCAACATAACGATAGATCTTGCAGCGGATTCGTCCATTCCTTGGTACAAGCTTTTGGACTTTGGATAAGAGCCGCATATCAGTAAGCAATTTCGGGCTAATAGCACCTGGACGCTTCATCACCAAAAACCCTGTAGGAGTTGTAAATACCAATAATTTTTTTTAACGCTGATTGTTTATGACATTGTAAGGTTTTCAGTGGATAGGAAATTACACAAACATTAGCTTCTCTAACTATGAAATTGGCTACAGATTACAGTTAAAACGGAATTGGTCCATTCCATTATACAATATCGCTTGCTTGTATCGATTGATTAATCATTTCTACACATCTTTTTTTCCTATAAAAATTAAAAGCCTGTAATTGACTGCGCAGAATTTTGTTGGACTCAGTTTCTAGTCCCAAATTTTCGCATGATTATCAACAATGGATGCCGACTTTCTGATGAAGCACTTGTCACAAAATGGTAAAATTTGATTTCTTGATTTTTATTACAATATTGGCTCAAAAAAGTATTTAATTTATTTAGGGAAAAAAATTGTCTGTAAAGTGAATATACCATTGAACTACACGAAATTCGCAGAAATATAAACCAGTTGATCCTTGATGAAAAATAAAATCATAACATTTTATTTAAAAAGATTTATGGTGGAAATCTTTGGTGATTACAAGAAAAAGAATAACGGAGTTTAAAGAATAATTTGCGCAGCTTCTTAAGAACCGCTAGAAAGTAAAAGCGAAAACACCTGATTCCATCTTCAAGCGGACAGATTACTCAACAGCCAGCTATGTAACTTGACATTAAAGGATTACAGAGCTTCACTGGAAAAGAGATAAAGAAAAATCACTGAATAAGGAAAATGAGTTTGGATTAGCAGGCCATTGATTCCTTCTCTTCAGAGGTAAAAGGAATTGGTTTGGTTGGGGCAGGAAGACGTCCTATGCTATCCACCTTGTCTTGTAGTTTTGGTGGAGGCCTTGCCGCTTTAGGAAGCTCCCTGCGCTTCTTTTCAAACCACTCAGGCTTGAGTAAAGCCCTCAACCCTAATTTGTTGTAATGAACTCTCCTCACAGATCCACCAGCAGCTTCAACAGCTGATTTTGCCCTAACTGTAACCCTTGAAACCTGATGTTGCAATATCTTACAATCATTATAATTCTACATAGCTAAAGGAAAAGTATGAAGATTGCATGTAGTATATCCTAATAAATCTAAGTCATGATGAGATAACTGAAGTTTTGAAATAGCAACTCAAGTGATTTCCAACTTGCCTCCAGATGAATAGGCCATTCAATAAGTTCTGCACCACGTCCCATCAGCCTGACTCCATCTTCTATCTGCTTCCCAACTGCTCCAGCATCCTAGTACGTAAGGCACAAAGTTCATCAGAAGATAAAGTCTGGACAGGAAACATTTATATATGCTAAACATGCTAAGTAGTTACCTTGAGAGTTTTCATGGTGATCAACTCTGAAGAGTCTATCTTCCCAGCATTGATTAACTTGGCAATCTTGCCCAAACCAACCGGCTGTCATTTTCATAAAGTAGCGCAGTGAACAAACAACAATCATCCTTTCTGAACAATCTACAGTCGTACAGAATCATGAACTATCAGGAAAAAATCAGGGCCAATTTGTTAAATTACAGAGTAAACACACGATCCACAAGATGATAAATACCCGCGGTTCAAGTTTCATCAAGCCAGCTTTGCTTGCTTTAGCATAGAAATTAACATAAAGAAAGTGATAGCTTTATTGAAAATTAGCCTCTGAAATGGTGAGATTTTTCTATGAACCCCATTAAGAGATTTGAAACTCCAAAAAACTTCAGTCATAAGGGAGCAGAAAAGTGCCCGTAAAAGCTTCCAAGTCCAGCGAAGTACATATAGTTTCACTGCCCTGCAGCCACAAGATGGCAACTATCTGAGTTATCAGTAACTGTATACCTAGATTGTATGTGTTCATTTTCGCAGTAAAAACACGATTCAGATGAATTATCCTAACAGCTTCGTACTTAAACTCTAAGTAGATTAGGGATATTCAGAGGGATGGATGGAGGTAAAGTATGCTTGATTCATTTTTCTTTCATTTCTCTAAGGTAAAGTATGCTTGATTAGGGATATTCAGAGGGATGGATGGAGGTAAAGTATGCTTGATTCATTTCTCTTTCATTAATTGTTGACATCCATGAGGGACTTCTTACAGTTGTCAGCCTTGTGGCAAAGATTTATAGAATTTCCATCCATACATCCCAAAAATCCATAATCTAGGTCAGAATTCGATGATGGTGACCCTTTCACTCAACAAAAGCTGGTTTCAGTGTGCCTCTCTTTTAGTTGCACAATTTCCTCAATAGAACTCCACAAAACAATTTGGTATCAATAACATCTATGACAATCTGCAAATTGACATTATTGAGTACCTAGCAGTGACAAATGAAGAGCATAATTAACTCTATTCTCCAATCAAAGTCTTCAACTGAAATACAATTTGAAAAACTTTTCTTCCTCATAATTTATTCCCTTGGATAACCATAGAGCAGTAATCAGCAAAATCAAATATCTCTGTTGCCTAAAATCAAACTTAATCTCCCTTATCTTCTGCTTCAAAGCAAAATAGATATTCTAAGTCACCTAAGTATAACATAAAGTCATGTGAATTCCAAGGGTTTTTAACCCAAGACCATCATCAGTCCCGCAAGTAGTCAACAGGTAGCATTCTCAGCTAAACTGATCACAAGCTATTTTCAGCTAAACTGATCACAAGATGAAATTCACATAGTCCAAGGAGAATCATCTATGACTAAGTAAAATATTATATTGATTCAGCTATAACTGAACAGGGGCAAGTTTCATCATTCAAATATAATTCCTGATTTGCATCCCGATTACTTTTCAATGGAATTCAAAATGCCACAAAGTGCATATATAAAATGCACAACACAGAAGGTAGTCAGGGTCTGAGGTGTGTAACACATAGTCTTGAAAGTTAATCTTTTTATTCCATAAAGAGTATTAATAGTGGGAAAAAAACATACATAGAAAGCAAATCAATAGAAGAAAACCAGCTATCCCAAATTTGCAGTCTCTGAAAATTTTATGGAGACCAAGATTCAAGTTAGTCATCCTGGCATCTGTTTTAGTGTTTTAGTAGACCAAATTCCTTGATAATTCATGTTTGCATCTATTCCTAGGAAACAGTATCCTACAAATTCAGATGCAGCATTTGCAACTTCAACTATTTCTACGTCAGAATCTCTACAATTGAGACAACAGTACCTCTTAAATATAAAGGACAACATGATAAAACCCCCTTTTTTGTCCCCATAAATCACCTAAGGTTGTAAGATGTAACAATCCCTCATCCCATAAAACCAAAGCTTAAATTATACAAATTTGATTAATCATTGTAACGTGTATCATGTATACTAAAACAACATGGAAATTCCAATGAGAACAAAACCAGAACCAAGAAACAAAAAGAACTTTTGGAACATCTACCTAACATAATATTTGAACTCTATTGAAACGATAAAAATCTCAAAAGCAAAGTATAAACACCATCCAGAAAGCAATATACACCAAAGGCACCAACCTGAAATGTAAGGCTAAACGGGTTGTTAAACCCACGTTTGGGAACCCGACGGCGAAGAGGGGTTTGACCACCTTCGAACCCAAACTTCATAGTCCCTCTGGCCTTTTGCCCTTTATGACCCCTTCCAGCAGTCTTCCCTTTACCCGACCCAATACCACGCCCTTTCCGGGTCTTCTGTGTCGTGGATCCCTTGTTATCACTCAAATCATTCAAGGCCAATAGACTCGAATAGCTCCTCCCGGCAAAATCCATATTCCTTCCATGTAACTGTGAAGGGAGGCCAGAACCCAGAACCCCATTATGAAAATGATTGTTGCTGTAATAATTCAAGAATTCAACGCAACGGATTTGTTTTGGAGAAATATGGGAAATTGGACTACTGTTTTTTAATGCGAGGTTGCAGATTGTGGTCGAAAACAGGGGACTCAGTTTTCGCCTCAGCATTTCTTCGTGCAGTTTTCTGCAGCCTTTTGATGAAATGGTTGTTGGGTTTTAACGAGGGTTTAAAGGTGCCGGACTTTTAGACGGGGCGTCAAAAATATTGGGGAAAATGGAATGAAGCTGTTTGTGAGATCAAACTGTTAGGAGGAACAAAAAGAAGCTTCAGCGAATGAATGATTCCGACGGCAGCCGAGACCTTCGCCGGTCCGGGGAAGAAGTTGGATACTGGACACGGAGGAGGAATTATGTTGGAAACAAAAAATGGGCTTTTTTGAGGTCGTTTGTAAAAGTGTCTTTTGTTTACTTTGGGCTTATTGTGACATGGACTATTCTCAAATATAGAAATGGTGAATTTGAAGTAGCAAATAAACTGGCAATTTTTTTTAAAATTTTTTTTTATTTCAATAAAGTGGCAAAATTTTAGTTCTCAAATTTAGAAAAGCATAACATATTTTCTCAACGAATCTTACCAATTAGTATTTTTACCATATTTATTAAATACCGAATTTTAATTTCATAGTGCAAAATTGTAATTTTCCTTTGATTATGGTGAGTATTATTCTATCTTTAATCTTATTGATCTTTTCATGGTCCCATTAAAACATATATATACTAGTGATGTCTGGTCGCGCAATACGCGACCCTGGCCCAATATATCTGTAGATCTTAGAAATGTTTGTATCTGGAAAAAAAATATATTTTGTATTTGGTCCAATATATTTTAGAAATTTTTGAAGAATTTAGAAATGTTTTATAAGTGTGATCATAGAAATGTTTGTATTTGGCATAAAAAGAAATTGTATTTGGTTCGGTACATTTTAGAAATGTTTGAAGATTTTAAAAATGTTTTATAAATGTTACTTCTTAAATATAAATAAACTTGATCAAATATATCTCTTGAAGTAAATGCTAGACAAAATATGAAAGCATGCCAATAAGTTTAAATATTAGTAAGATAATTTATTGATGTTCTCTATTGGTTGTGCCAAATCAATACTTAGTTTTAGAGATTTATAATAACTTTGTAGTAAGCTTCCTCCCAAGGGTATACACTTCATTGTTGGAACTATTTCTTCCAAAAGTTTATAGGTAATAAAATATCAAAAATATGATTTTGAAACTGGTTAATCACAAATATGAGAATAAAAATAATGTAAATTTGCATATATTTCAAGTTATAGCAAAAAAGAACTCACCTCACCATGGCAAATAAAGAAAAAAAATATTAAAAGATAGCCCATTAAAAATTGAGAAATTTATTTGTATAAAAACACAAATAAACATAGAAACATCGTTCCTTTCCTCTCCGCCTCAAATTCATAAAAGGTTTCCCCATAAATTAATTAGAAGAAGCGACCTGAACTACTTATATGATGAGGAACTAAAAAAAGTCCAAAAATCAAATCCAAAAAAGTATATTCTTGAAAGTCCGAACACAAAAAAAACACACGCTTGATTTGCAAATAAAATAATAATAATAATAATAACAACAACAACAACAACAACAACAACAACAACAACAACAACAACAACAACAACAACAACAACAATAATAATAATAATAATAACAATTGGTCAACTGGGAGTATGAAACAAAATCAAAAGCAATTAAACAAAGAAAAAAACACACTTCATAACTGATCATATACGAAAAAAAAATCGAGACTCCATAATTAAAAAAAGAAAACCACTCTAATTGAATGAAATATAAAAAAAAAAATTTTAAAAAACCACATTTTGTAACAAAAATCCAATTAATGAATTCAATCCAAACAGAACTAAAATCATACAAAAATTCTAGGCTAACTAACCATATAAGAAATCACATCATATTACCACATCATATTACCTGACAACAGCTATGGTAGCTGTAATGGATGGACGCATAAAAATAATAGTAATAACACTATTCTTGAATGGGAAAAACAAAAAATAATAAAAGCCAAACAAATGATCTGTAAAAATAAAATTATTTAAATTTTAATACCTGTAATTGCACCACCACAACGGCCGAAGCAAAATCAATGAGAATTTTTTTTTTCCTTTGTGTTTATATTGAGAGGTAAAGAGAATATTTTTTGAAGTCGAAATTTATCTGATTAGGATGTAGTTGATCATCACTAATGAAAATATTGAACATGCTAATTGGATTGGAGTATATTTCACTACATATTCTCAACTAATGATTGATGAGAAATTTATTTATTTATTTTTATTGTGGAGAAGGGATTGATTAGGGAGTCCATTGTGGTAGAGATGGGAATAAGGATTTGGGTTTTTCATGAACCCATGATTTTTTTTTTTGGCGAAAATAGGAGGTGGAGGTAGATTTGGATTGCATTTACCTTTTAAGTCTAGGAGATGTGAAAATAAAAATTTATTTTAAAAATATAATGTGAAAATACCACATGGCAAATGGTGGTGCTTTCTCTTAAGTGTGGTTTTTGTTTCTAATATAGTAAGATATATATGTGTGTGTGTGTGTGTGTGTGTGTGTGTGTGTGTGTGGGAGTGCCTAGAGTCCCGTTACGGGACGGTTCCGTTTTAAGATAATAACCGTAGGATTAATTAGACTAATTAACAATCGTAGGATTACAATGAGGGTGCATCATAGGTAAATATATCTAAACACACCTGATTAAACTGAAAAAATTAGAGAAATTAGTTAATTTTGCCCAAAGCTTTAAGTGTCTAGCCAATTTGACCCAAAAAAATTTTGTGAAACTAAATTCATCATCTAAGTTTCAATTTCTGGCCAATTTCATCCAATTGACAAAAATTCCGTTAGATTTAACACCTCCGCTAACAATCCGTTACGAATAAAATGACAGTTGTACCCAAAGTTTTAACCGCGTCGTTAATGTTACCCCATTAATTTTTGGTTTGCCAATTTTGTCCTTTACGTTTGAAATTTTTGCCAATTTCATCCAATTGGCCCAGTTTCCGTTAAACTTCAGGGATTTCAGTTAATTTTTAACAAAAATATATCTCAATAGTATCAAAAAACCCCAAAATATGTAAAATCAACAAAATAATCTTTTTTCATTATTTATTTATTTATTTATTTTTATTTCATTTTATTTCTCTTTACTACTTTTTATAACCATCAAAATATATTATAAGATCTTTAAAATAACAAGTATATATTTTCAAACTCTATTTTTCATGTGCAAACATGTAAGTTTGGTTCAGAAGTAATTTTGTCATATTTTTTAAATTTTTAATTAATTTTTTATTTTTTGTTATTTACTATTATTTTTCTTATACTTCTTGACTTGTATCTGTTGCTGCTAGTATAATTACTAAATTTCATTAATTAATTTACTTTTTATTTCATAGATTATAAAAAAAAATTTAAAAAATAAAGAATATGAGGAAGAAAAAATCGAGTTGAAATAAATACGAAAATTAATAGGTTATCATTCTAAACAAAAAAAATCTTAAAAAAAAACTGCTAAGACAAGTCTTTTCTCCTTGACATCTTATAATTCACAGGTAAGTTACCAAATATAAATTTTACTTGATCTAGCCTAAAATGATTATTGTGTTTGTGATAGTAAAAATAATATAAAAATTAGATAATCATTTGAAATAGGAAAAAGTGCTAAATTATTTAGTCCACGACGATGAATTGTTTTAAATTTGGTTAACACAATTTTTGTTCTTTTTTAGTAATTGTTATTCTTACTTTGCCGATGGCTAAACCATATAAGTAATCATTGAATTTCATGATAAAGATAAATATGTATATTGTTTAACAGCATATTTTTTAATATTTTTTTAAACCTCGAAATTGAATTACAAAAGGTAAATTTTTTTCTTGAAATATAGTAATTATACTAGTGCCAACATAGACAAGTCAGAGGGTACAAGAAGAAAATTGTTCAAAAAATAAAATAAAACAAATTAAATTTTTTTAAACAATATAAAAAGACAAAATTACCTCTAAACCCAACTCAAGTGCGTTGCACATGAAAAATATTGTTGAAAATAAATAATTATTTTTAAAGATCATATAGTATATTTTGATGGTTATGAAAAGTAGTAAATAGAAATAAAATGAAATTGATTAAAATGAATATAAGTGAAAAGGGGATATTTTGTAATTTTTACATTTTTTTAAGCAAGAAAAAGGATGAAAATGACGTTCAGGTTCCGGATAACTCAAAAAATATTTTGTGAGTTATCTTTATAATATTTTGAAACTATTGGGGTATTTTTGTTAAAAACTAACGGAGATCCCTTAAGTTTAACGGAGAAATGACCAATTTGATGAAATTGACAAAAATTTCAAACATAAAGGACAAAATTGGCTAATCGAAAATCAATAGGGTAAAATTGACGACGAGGTCAAAACGGTGTAACCGCTATTTTTTCTTTTTCCGTTATTTTGTACAATTTTTTAGAAAGAAGAAGGGGAAAAAAAGGAACAATAAATAAAATATTTTGTAATTTTTGTGGAACTAAAGAAAAGTGGCGGGGACGGAAATGCGGGTAGTGATGGAGGGAGGATTGTGTACTGATGGTGGAAGCAAATTTTTATATTTGTGGTGGTGGTTTGAAATCCTCACAGATTTAGGAAGTGGTGATGGTAATTTTTAGGAGAGAAGAGGAAAGGGGCGATGGTGGTGCGGCAGCGGAAAACAAGTAAAAGAGGAAGAAAAGAAAGAGGCTTAGGGTGGAAGCAATGAATTAGATTAGGAGATAAATTATGTGCTATGGACGTTATAATAATTAAATGGTAAGATAAGCATACGTTACTGAATAACAAAACATTAGGGATAAAATATTAAAATTTTGGGTCAACAAAGTATTTTACCAATAAAAAATTGTACAAATTAACGAAATGTCAGTAGAAATATTAAATCTAACAGAATTCTCATCAATTTGGATTAAATTGGCAAAAAATTGAAAATTTAGATGATGAATTTGGTTTCTCAAAAATATTTTGGGTCAAATTGGCCAGAAACTTGATGTTTTGGAAAAAAGTGATCATTTTCTTAATTAGTTTATGATATTATAGAATGTTATTCACCATATGGTTACATCTTATACCCTCAGTTTTGATTGGTTGAAAATAAAACGGGACGATTCCGTAAAAATGACCAACAGAACTCTAGATTTTCCCTATATATATATGTGTGTGTGTGGATTACAATGAATAGAAATTGCTAAATTCTGTTCTCCCACAATTTCAGTACGTATCTCCTCAATTCATTTCTCTCTTTTGTTTGAAATTCTCTGTTTCTACCCTATTTCTTCATTATTTCTGAAATCGGACGTCCATCCATTATTGGTTCCA